TTGTGAAGGTCTCGAAGTTTCTCGCCAGGTGTTCGAGGATGCCATGGTTCAGTTGCCTTTCTTCGAGGAGTAGCTTCTCGTGATGCTGTCTTGCAAACAGTCTCACTGCAGAGCAGAAGCCTCAGTGGTCAGAACTTTTCCTTACTGCGAGGGGAGCGTGCTTTCACCTAAGTTGTGACTGCAACAGCCTTCATGTCGCCACTCCGCTTACGCGCCGGGTATGTGAAAGGGCACCATTCAGACTTCAAGTCTCTGTAAAGAAGGTTGCGTGAACCCGACCGCCCAGAGGGGGTGTAAACGTTTATCGTCCTTTGGGAGGAGAAACGTGGGCGTCCGGGCCAACTTCTTGTTTTCCTTAGGAAGCAGACGATGATGCAGGAACTGTTCAAGGCTTAGGGCTCTGCTGGGGCGCACCGACTTGCACGCAAGAACTTGTCCTGTGCTTTTGCAGTGTTGGCAGTACTTGTAAGTTGCAAGACTGTGCGAAGCACTCTGTTCCGTACAGGTGAAATCTTGATTATGGTTTCATCACAGTACGGAGACGAAACTGTCCATATTCTGACTAGCCGGCCACCCAAAAATTGACGTATCTCTGATCTTCACTAGACCAACAAGCGTCGGATTTATCTGTTCGTGTCAGAGCCGTGTCTTTTGCGTCTTTGTGTCCGTTTCCTTATTTTTTTTGCGCCTCTTCTGATTCTTTTGGTTTGTGTTTTTTGTCTTGTCTTGTTGGCGGCTTGCAATGCACCTTTAATGCGATGATGCGATGAAAAGAAAAACCTTGTGCGGTAGGTCTCAGGTCTTGGTCTGACGGTAGGAGTGACGTGTGAAGTGGGCGCGGTAGGTCTTTTGACTTGCGTCAGTGCGTTGAATGTGAGGCCTTGGCCCTCTGAGGTTCCTTGAGGGCTCTGCTGACAGTGCGAGGTGGGAGAGACCGCTCTCCGAGAGGAAGAGCGAAACTGTCTCAAGGTCGGCTTCCGCGAGAAGACGTCGTGTTACAAGCATCCCCGCTGCTAATTCTCCTACTGCACACCGCCCTGGAGCAGACTTGAGGCCGTTTGCCCAGACTCCACCGGCGCAGCAGGCAGCAGAGCAGGTGTGGTTTGGTCGCTCCGAAAAGCCTTTACCATGTTCTTGTGCTGTGTGCACTGCATTGGGTAGCGTTTCTTTTGCTGGTTTGCTTGGCTTGACATACACTTCACTTCCGTGTTTGGGACGATGGAGAAAAACCTGGTTGGGTGTAGATCTGTTCTGCTACAAATCGACAAACAAGGATCAATGCAAAGGGAGGTCTGTTAGGGCCTGTTGGTTCTTGGCTAATTCAAATCAAACCGTTGCCGGCTCGAATGAGTACGGTGCGAACTCTTGCTTCCGTTTATCTAACATGGGGCATGTGCATGTCATCTTGGGCAGAGGCCATGCTAGTCATCTCAGTGTCGTTCCAGTTTTATCGAATGATCCCCAGACGCACGAAACGAACTCTGACAGCAATTTCGGCGCGATAACTCGGACGATGGAATTACATGAATGAACCGACGGCGAGATCTTGCAAAGACGTCTTTCGCTAGGAGCCGGTAGGTGAACCTTGTTGTGAGCATGTGGCATGTGTGTGTGTGTGTTGAAAGACGTGATAAAGATCATGCATTTCAGTGGAACCGATGACTTGTGTTCGATTGTGGCCAGATGGAGTCGTTTTGAATATTCGGCAAAGTATCGTCAAAATGTTAGTTCGAACACAGAAAGGTGATAAATTTGAACTTCCAAATTCGCGCAATTCTCTAAAGCATATTGATGAGGCATTTCTGCATGAGGACAGTTCAAAAAACCGAAGCAGTCTGCACACGTCTTTCGAAGGCCGGGCTGCTTGTGAGCACAGGCACATAATCGTTGATCAATGTTTACGTGTGTTGTCCCTGTCCTTGCAAGCTCAGGGTAGCCGCCAACAAAGCAGCAGAGAGTACAACTTTGGAGCGGTTGGAAAATTTGCAATGCGTGTTACTTGGAGTTTTTGTGGTGATGTTCACAGAAATCCCACGTTCGCACATCGTGGTCACAGCTTCGGCTTACATCATAGGCAAATATCTTTAACGGTTTCGAAATTCAACACACAGCAATGGCCGTTGCCGCGGCAATTTTGCCGGGCAGCGACTTTGATTTGGACCAGCTGATTCACAAGTCGGGCACCTGGCTTTTGGCGGCAAGCAACATCAGTTCTGGCCGCAGATGTTTCGAGGCTGAAGCGCGATGGCGACATCGTGCCAGAAATTTTGCCGGAACGAGTGCTGAAGCTTGCTTGTCGGCCGGACTTGTTGGTAATGTTGACTACGTTTGGTCCGAAGTCATTCAGAATGGACCGTTGGCAGTTTTGGATGTCAGTCACTCGTTGTTACCCGATTTGGATATGTCGGCACCTGTATGCATTACGGACAGATGCCGGACGAGCCAGGTCAGCAGTTGAAGAACATCCTCATCGAGGTCAACTGTTCAAGGGAAATCATAAGTAAACCAACTGCACCCGTGTGTTTCTTGTTGAAATTGGTTTGCTTCGAGAAGGAAAGCAATGTGCAACCCGTGCAGCTGCCTGTCGTGCGACTTGTCAGCAATGCTGCAGCCTTTCTTGAAGGGATTTCGGTTTTCGCCTGGCAGTTGGAAAGTTGTGCTTACAGCTGACAGCGGTAGACAAGACTTCTAAGGATATGTGGAGACATTCATGGCCCAGACCTGAGCTTGCCAAGCATGCATCGCAACATGGCTGGCTGACCGGTGGCTGCTTCAGGTTCTTTTCGGAAGATAGCATGTCTAGAGAACCAGTAGAAGTTCTGACTGAGACTGAAGGATTCGCAAGTTATGCTTAAAGCGTTGTTAAGCATTCGAGTTTTTGTGATTAAGCTTTTTTGCTGTCGTTGAGCTCCTACATGCAACATGCGATGCACTTAACTGGCCTAATCCCGTAGCTAATCCGGCTTACTCATCCTCTAGTCCTGTAGCTAGCGCTTGGCCAGACGACAGGCCTTTGACTAGTCTTGGACTCGGTCTCTGGAGTTTCAAGATTGTCGCTTCAAGGTCAATATTTCGACTTGTTGGAGCTCTTCAACATCGGTGGGCAAATTCCGGTGATCTGACTGCTGACTGATGCTAAATAAAGCTCCTCATGGGTTGCGGTGATTGCTGTATCTGAGGAGAAGAACTACATCTTTATGGGTGATTTCGTTGACCGAGGCTGGCTCTCTGATGTTTTTCTCGTTGCTTCTGAGTTCATGTTCATGCTGAATTCATGCTTTCCTGGATGATTTGGCGCAGCTGCAGGTTACAACAGCGTTGAGACCTTTGAGTTGCTAATGTTGTTAAAGCTGCGATATCCTGCCGGAGCCTCTGCATGTACTTGCAAGTGGGATTGGGGATTCCATACTCAACGCAAATCTAACGAGGCCAGCATCACATTGCTTCGTGGTAACCACGAATCCCGCCAGATCACGCAGGTTTCCAACTTACGACGTCTTCAGTTTGGTGCTTGCGCAATAGAGTCTTTTGCGAATTGAGGTTTACGGATTTTACGATGAATGTCTGCGAAAATACGGAAATGCAAACCCGTGGAAGCCTTGCCCTCATGAATGCCTTTGGTCCGCCCCGTCTGTTCTGCACGATCTTGACAGCATAGTGATTCTCCGAGGTACTGTACGGAGGTATTTGACTATCTCACCTTGTCTGCAATTGCAGGATACCCAGCCCGTCGACACGATGAGTCTTCGAGTCTTCATAGTTGATGCGGTTGGCCAGGTGGAAAATTCCATTTTCTGTGTCCATGGAGGACTCTCGCCCGACGTACCGAGCCTGGAGAGAAATGCAGCATTTGACAAGTACCGGCTGTTGAAATCATGTCAGGTCAAGATCCTTGATCAGATCCGCACGATCAATCGGGTGCAGGAAGGGGAGTGAGAACGGTTCTGCACAGTGCCAGTCCAAGCAAGGCAAAATCCGGCTTTGCGACTTGGGCTTCAGCATTCCGAGCTTCGGCTTGTGTAAGGTTGAAACAACTACCAGGATGCACCCCCGCAGAACACAGCGTCAGCTTAAACCGGCACCGGTACCTGTTGCACAATCAATGCATCACTGCACAGATGCGCAGCCAACCGAATCGAGATCGCACACTTGCCAGCGACAAAAGTTTGATGAACTCCACTTTGCACCCCGCAGCTCCCATGCCCAGAGAGCATGCCGAATCGAAAAGGTGTTGGGTTTTCCTTTAAGCCGGGTCAAGTTTTTTGAATTCCCCGGCTGCTCGCTACCAGGTCTGAGCGCAGATAGTGTAGAATGCCAAGACTACTAGATCGGAAGAGCCATTTATCCTAAACAGACCAACATGGTAACTTCACTCCCTTAGCTAAAGTGTCTGGACACGCCTACCTTCAAAGTAGCCCGTTTATTCTTTTTGACGATCCCGTCAACAGTTGGAGATCTTTCACCTTGTCCGCCACTTGGTGTTATGTTGTATGCAGCCACGATCAGGCGGGCTGCGAGGTGTCAAGGGTTAGTATAGCGCCGAAGCCATCACGCAGCTTGAGAACTTTTCGTTCGACCAACCTGTCTTTGCAAATATGGTCGACGCTGGTCGACACGAGGCGGCTGTTGCACTACATTGCACTTTGACAGCTTGTTCCCAACAGACGGGGGCACGCAGAAAGTCTGGCAGTGGCCTGCATGTTAACAAAGCTAGGGGCGGCGTCGACAAATGCTGGTGCAACGAAGGGCTCGGCTTCATGCTCCTAGATGTTTCGGGATGTTTTGGTTGCTGGTTCTCGGCACTAAGTCTTTGTAGTTGCTTGTCTGAGAAGTTTTCTGCAAAGCAAGTTGCTAAACAAGCACGAGCTGAATGCTTGGTCGATTCGTCGCATGATTGAATCTAGGAAAGTAGTCAACGGACTTTTCCATCCTCGACCTCGAACAATGTCTGCGAAGTTGAGTTGCTTGGTTCCCAGCTCTCCCGGCTTGCTCCCGACTTGCAGTTGTGTACGCTAAATTCCGCACAGCATCTTTGAAAGAGGGATCACTGCGACCTTTGCATTGTCCGTGATAGACGCCCATGCAGTTTTACATAATCACGAATCGCTGCGGAAGGAGATACCGCACGAAGGTGCCTTTGGCGATCTTGTGTGGTCAGATCCTGAAGATATTGAGGCATGGGCAGTCAGCAGCCCAGACTGCCATCAAATGGCAGCAGTGCAGCTAGATGTGACTGGACGCTGAGGTCAGCCCGAGAGGTGCTGGTTGGCTTTTTGGGGAACGGCCAACTCAACACTTTAATCGTCAGTCCTCTTAGAAGCCGTGGGTGCTCCTGTGTTATTCTTGCACCCTTGCAAAGTTATGGAGCGCATAGGTCTCAACGGCTTGGACCTCATTGCCAGGGCACACCAGCTTGTCCAGGAAGGGTACAAGTGCGCCAGCAGATCTCATCTTGCTTATCCTACTCATTCAGCACGCTTGCTTGTAGGTACATGTTCAGCGACTCGCAGCAGGAAAGCAAGACGGGACTGTTGGTAACAGTCTGGCATCGGGCTAAAAACCGGACGGCCGACACATGTGCAGGCACTCACGCATGTGTCCGCCTAGGACAGACAAGTCTGTTCAGCTCAGGTCGGCTCCAAATTATTGCTACCGATGTGGAAATGCAGTGTTCTCGGCTAGAAACACATACTAAGCGAGTTTGTCAGCTGTGGTATTTGTTTACACTTAAGGTCGCCTCCATCCTTGACATCGACGAAAGGAACCAGCGTGAGTATGCATGGCATGTTGTTGAGATGTGATACTTATGGCTCCATAGCGTTAAAAGCACATGACAGGTTCCGAATATTTCAGGAAGTTCCAGCTTCAGCTTCGGCTGCCTGGACCCTGGCGTTGGCGTGGAGGTGAACAGAGCTGCATGTGGTCGACTATCCAGTGTTGCCTGTGAGTCAAGGTTCCGCCTCGGCAGCTTGTTCCCTATTTTCTGTGATGATGGCAGCTTGTAGCCAAAGCCATCATGCGTCAGCAAGCATCTGGATTCTTTGCAACAGCTGTGATCCCGGCTGCAATTTTTTGTTGCATCTGAGCTCGCGGGGAAGCGCATGCATTCGTGAATGGTTCACAAGAAGTGAACCGTCACAACGATGCATCGCTATGTCCAAACATGCTGTGCTCGCTGAGATCGTGGGGAGACGCAAATGTGCAACGGGGTTGCTGTGGTTATCGCTGATGTGCTGTTGCAAAGTGGCATCTGACGATCTCAGTTTGAAAGCACTCGCAGACTTAGCGCAACATGCTTGATAATGCCTCATATTACTCCCATTAGTTGGAGTGCCGTTGGGTTAAAATGTGTATGCTGCGGTCATATGACGCAGCACAAAACGGTTTCTGCATGTCAGTCTCTGGGTGATCATCGTTGATGGCATGTCTGATGTCCTTTGATACCACGCCGGTAACAAGGGTGTTCAAGGACAGTAGCGCAGACAGGGCTTCAGCCTGCTCTGAAAGAGGCTCGGAGTTTCTGGCATCAATGGCTTTCTTGCTCGCATTTGTCACACAGGATATGGAGGGAGACTCGCAGGAAGCGTTGGGCTCCCAGCGAGTCGCCAGCGAGTCACAAGTCTGAGACGCGCTGACGCACATGCATTGGCCCCAGCTGGTGCCTGCGTCAGGCTTCGTCCTTTTATCGAGGCTGAAAGGGAGTTTGTGCAGCGGCAGGCTGGTCACCGGGGCACAGGCTGTGACATTTGCAGTACTACAGTAGGACCTGGGCGGGTCGCCTCCGATGCACGACCACTGGACCTGGAGAGAACCGCGCTCGTCAAGGATGTCGTGGACGTGGTATTGCTGTTGTTGGGATGTGCATGACATGCAGTATTATTCAGTCAGTGTTCCATCACCGTTCTTGTTGTGGGAAGCACGGTACCGCGGCAGCCACAGCCGCTTTTTGCAAGGGTTATGTTCGACGTGGTTAGTACAAAGTGTCGATTGCCACTCTCCAGCACATGCAGCTTTCTTGAAGTCATCCGATCTCGCCGACAACCTTGAGCACAAAACTTGTTCAAGCAAAGAGCTCTGTACATGCCGCGGGATGCGGGTTCGGTGCACCTTGTCTATGTGTGGGCTTGGGGGCCCATCTCATCCAGATAGACCCGCGGATGACTTGCTCAAAGCTTCATGAGATGAAGATGGGGTCATGAAAGCTATCGAAGATGTGTTAGCAAGATGAGTGGGATTGGTGAGCCTAGTGCACCAGACCCAGGAATAGTGCTAACCGGAACGGCTCCTTTACCGGTCACCGGGCATGCGAAGGGACAGCCCGGACAGGCGGCATGACATGGGACCTTACAATGCCTTGTTAGTTGCCCAGCCCAAGGCACCTGCAAGCGTCACCGAAACTCAGCAACAACATACGTTTTCTCCTTTGCGTAACTTGTCATCGTTCACTCCTGGAAGCTACAAGTATCCAATCATCGTCAGTCCATAACTTGTGCTGAGTCGCCGGTATGTTGATTGTAGTCTCTCCTCTAAATTGCAGCTTTGGGCGGCCAGTTTTGCGTCACTGGCCGCCTTTCGTCTTTGCATAACAGCCTGTTTTGAAAAAGTTCAACAACTGGTGGATGGCGTTGGAGTGCAGTTTCGCACAGTCTGCTGGCGATCACGATGGCGCCGTCCAGTGTCTGGAAGCGGTGCTGCGGGCAGAGCAGGTGGGTGCCGAATATGCAAACCTATATGTCTCGCCGGGACCTCTTCAGGTGCCAGTTTCAGGATTCGGAGCCAGAGGCTTTCACAGTACAGACTAGAGAGGGATTAATGACCAGGTCGGTGTCCGTGCAGATGAAGAAGCAGACGGCAAAAGAGAATTCCCGTGAACCCATTCCACCGAACCTTAAGCCCCTTCTGCTCCCCGCCAAATTGGCTTACTGGCGCTCACCCAACCCACCTTGTGGTTCTAGTTGAACTGGTTCGAAGCAGATCCCTCATCAGCAGACTCTCTTGTCTAGGATCACCGGCTCTACTTTTTTCTCATTCGGTCTTTTGTCTTCCCTCTGTAAGGCAACCTTATTTTCTGCAACACTCCTTGTAATTACAGCATATCCACCCAGCAACGCACAGTACTTCCATGCAGATGTCCAGGCAACAGTGCAGCAGATGCCTGACACCATGTTATCGACGCTTTTCGAGCGGCTGGCTATAGGCGTGCATGGAAGTTCAAGCCTCGCATGTGATGATCTGCAGAGACAAAGACTTGTTCCACAGTCGAGCTCGCTGCTAGATGTTATTGAGCGAAGTGGACGTGCTCAGTGTCCAGGCTACAACACCCTGGGAATGAAGCATTTGAAGGCTCTCTTCGCTCCGATGGTCACGTGCATTCGTTTGCACTGCATTTTCGTCGTGCATGGGTGTTTGCAGGACAACAACACAGAGGTTTCCTGCAAGTTTTTCGAGAAAGCAGAAGCGCTTACAGACCCAGCCAATCTGCCACTTCCTAAGCCACAGGTGCGAGGTTCACCCCTCTCCCATTCGCTTATGTCTCAGGCATATGAATGCTGAGTCTCGCCTCGTCTTGAGAGCAGTGCGCCAGCTGTCAGTCGTCATGTATCTGTCATACGCATGAGCATTGTCCAGGTGACCTACAACAACATGGGCTGCTTCTACAAGAGCTTTGGAAAGCTTCTTGACTTCTTGATCTGCGGCAAAGGAAGAAGACTTGCGTCAGAAGTCACAGTCACGCGGTTTCCTGGAATCTCGTCCAGCTTCGTAGGAGTAGCTGCAGGGCTGTGCATGCGATGGAGAGCGCAGCACTTCAAGGCTCTGCATGGCTTTGAGAATGAGGCTCCATACGGCTCTGCAGTACCTGAAGAAAGCTCAGAGAATCGAGGAGCAGTGAGCAGCACAGATCAACCCAGATAGATTGCCTGTCGTTGGTGTGTGTGTGTGTGTCTGTGTATCATTGTGGGCTTGTTCGTGCATCGTAGAGTCTCAAAGGTCACGGGGCAGATGCCAAAATCCAGCAGGCACGGGAACAGCAGAACTGAGTGTGTCTTGTGGGTCCGGGGTTTTTGGGTTTCCGCACGTTGGCTCTGGTCTGGGGCCCTGGGTAGGGTTTAGCCTACGCCCCTGGTCTGGTCCTACGGTCCCTTGGTCCCTGCCCCAACAGCTTCATGCAAAACAGGATTTGCAACTTGGTAGGGTTGGCCCAGGCCCTGGTCCCTTGGTCACCTTGGTCCTCTGGTCCCTGATCTTCTGGTGTCCTGGTCCCCCGGTCCTTTGGTTCCTGGTCCTCTGGTCTCTGGTCGGGACCCCAACCCCCCTTCCGGTCTCTGTTTTAGCCTTGCCGTGGGGTTCGCCCGGGTCGCGGGCCACAGGCTGCGGCCCGTGAAAAGTCGGGGCAGGTTTAGCAAATGATATATATATATATTTTTTTTTTGGAACCGGAATCGCCAATGAGGGGGCGTGCTTTAGACATATGATGAGGGGCGTGTGTAAGAAATGTGATGCCCTCGGTCCGCAGATCAAGGGGCGTGTTTAGGATATATGATAGGTGGAGGGGTGTGTGCTTAAAATATATGATAAAGTGGAGTCGCCACACGATGGGCGTGTTGAAGAAGTATGATGAAGAATAATCGCCGAATGAGGGGCATGTTTAAGATGTATGATGAACTGGAATCGACAACTGACTTGTCGTGTTTAAGATACATGCTCAACAACAGCAGCAACAACACAATCTATTTGGAGTGTCTGTGAAGTACACTTCTGTGTGCACTGAATTTCATGTCATGTTGGCCCTCTCTCGTTTTTGAGTTTTCGCACGAACCGTGTTGGTTCACATGAGAAGACCCCGCGAGGCATGCATCAAGACACCATCGACAATCGCTCAGCTTGTTTAAGCCGCGCAAGTTCGCTTCAACATGACATCCTGCCAGCAGAAACAGCATGCATATGGATCCTTTCAGAACCCCTGATACAGACATATACAGACGTTGTGGAAAGTTGGGGGCGGGCTTAGCTGTTTAGCGAAAGTGCAGAGTCGGAATTGGCAAGTGAGGGGGCGTGTTCAAGATATGTGATGAGGGGGCGTATGATGAACCGGTCTCGCCCAATGAATGGGGTGAGCGGGGCGTGTTTAAGATATATGATCAACCGGAATCGCGACATGAGGAGCATGTTTAAGATATACTCCGATGAACGGCAAGCGCCATAGGAGGGGGCGTGTTGAAGAAATATGATGAACCGAAATCGCCACATTTAAGATGTAGGATTCACCTGGAGTGCCAAATGAGGGGGCGTGTTTACAAGATATGATGAACCGGATTCGCCAACATGAGGGATGTGTTTAAGATATATCATGATGAACCGGAATCGCCAAGGAGGGGGCGTGTGAAAGATGTATGATGAAGGGGCGCGATTAAGATGTATGATGAACCGCAATCGAAAACTGATTTCGCATGTTCAAGGACTATGACGCACCGGAATCGCCCCTGTAAGTTGTAATCCCCCACTAGCTTGGGGCAAAACAGGACCTTGCAAATTGTAAGTCCCCAATGGCCTGATGCAAAGCAAAACCCTGCATATTGGAATGCCCCAACAGCTTGGCACAAGACCGGAACTTCGAAATTGTAATCCCTCACTCGGGGCGAAGCAAAACCTTGCAAAATATAATTCCACAAGAGCTTGACGGACAGCAAAACCGTACAAGTTATAGTTCCGAAATAACTTGACACAAGACAGGAGCCTCAAAATTGTAATACCCCAATAGCTTGGGGCAAAACAAAACATTTCAAATTGTAATTCCCCACGTGCTTGACACAAGACAGGAGCATCGCGATTGTAATTACTCAGTAGCTTGGGGTACAACAATACCCTGCACGTTGGAATTCCCCAACAGCTTGACACATCGAAAAATTGTAATTTCCCGATAGCTTGACGCAAAGCAAGGAGCCTTGAAATTGCAATCCCCCAATAGCTTGGGGCAAAACGGGATACTACTAATTGCAATTCCCCAAGAGTTTGATGCGAAACAGTAGCGAAGTACAGTATTTGTAACCAAAACAGAGAGCCGACGTTAGTTAGCAAGCGAGACGGGGGACCGCCAGCGTTAGGAAGCCCAAAAACCCCTCCTCAGTGTCTTGTCATATCCGGAAGCGGAGCCGGCCATTTCGGCAGCGGCAAGGTACACACTTGAATCTGTGTGCGCTGTTGTCGCAGATGGGCAAGCATCAAGAGGCTTCTGGGAGTGTGTGCGAACTTGGTAGCAGACCGTTCGTCTTGGCATTACAAGCTGTCGAATGCAGATGTGTGAGCAGGCACTGCAGCATGCAGACAAAGCTCTCAAAAAGCTGGAGGTACCCAGGGAACATTCAAGTTGCAGTGTATATGTTCTCATCTGCAGACAGTAATTCTGGTTGAACACAGGCAGCTCAGAAGCAGAGCGCATCTGAGAGGGCTTGCTGATCACCTGCGTGTGCCGGAGCAACCTTGGGTGATCCTGTCCCAGGTCTCAGCCACCGGAGGGCGGGAGTCCTTCGACTCAGAGCCTACAGTCACTGCAGTCACACAGCAGTCACAGCAGATAGATGCTGGTGCTGTAAGTAACAACAACTGTCCATCAGCAAGCGAGGTCTTCCACCTGTCGCCGGGAGCACCAACAGCGAAAGCTTGATTTGCATGGCCCCCACATGTGTCCTTTGAGTTGCCAGCAATTTGTAGGGCACGCAAGGTTCATGACAGCATGAAGAAAATGGCTTCTGAGGCGTTGCATATTTCAACATGGGGGCAGAGTACGAGCATTTAAAGAAGCCTGCAGAAGCTCTGTGGCACTACCAAAGAGTGAGGTGCTGAGCAACCTACAGGAAGCTGTACGTTCTCACTTGCTGTACCCGGGATCGTCTTTGGTTCGCGCTTTCCGTGTAAGCTACTTGCAACACGAAAAGAGTCGCTCTGCAGTGTCTGCTGCCGACGTTGACACGTGACAGGTCATCTCGCTGTTCCCAACTCGTTCCCACCCTGTCGTGAGCTAGATTTTTCCGTGTAGCTCCCTCACCGAAGCTTCAAGGAAGGAGCCTTCTGCCGAGCTGCGGTCGGCGGAAAAATCCCATACCGCGGAGCAGACACTGTCGCCATCCACCACCGTTTATGGCGCCCTTTCAGGGTCAACGAACGCAGGTCACTGCATGGTAGGTGATACGTGATCCGCCTTCTGTTATTTCGCATGCTTTTGAATTTTGCCCTTCGTCCATTTGCAGTACAGTGTCGACTGACAGTACAGGGTCACGTTCTGCGGGAACTACCTGCGTCCGTGCAAATCGAAAGTCGAGGGCACCGGGCCGTCTTTTCGTTAGCAGCTCCAGCCTTCCCATTGTCTTTGTGCCCTCCGGCACTGCGATGAAGCAGCCTTTGCCTCCATTCGTGTTGATGCCGGCCTCGAGGCTATTTTGTCTTGAGGAAGTGGGCTTAGGCATGCTGCAAGGCCTTCGTATTGAGGCTGAGTTGAGTCAAAACGGGAGAAGCTGCACGATGCAAATGTTTGCACTTCATGAGCAATGCCAGAGGGCAGACTGAAAAGGAACAAGTTTCCCACAACAAAAATTAGAAACCGCGTAGATTTTCGCTGGAAGAGCACTGGAAGTAAATCTATGCCAGCGGAGATCTTGAACAAGTGCATTCAAGAAGTCACTCAGCAAGCTTCGTCGCCCGCGCTGCACGAATCAAAAGAGCTTGACCCAACCACAGATTCCCGTATACTTATCATCGAAAATTGCGATCAGGCTGCAGATGCGATCCATTTGCGACCTGTGGCAGTGATGTCCTGCTGAAAAAGACCTAGTCTTGTACAACGAGGTTGGGGCAGGTAGCGTTGGGCGCTCATACAGAAGCAACACAGATTTCTACAGCAGCAGTGAAAGCAGTGTCGAGTCCTGGGGCATGGCAGCCAGAGCAGCCGCGTAGAAGCTCATTCGCTGATTGCCGGTGTGATTGTGGCTCGGATGCTTGCCACTATCGCTGGACTTCGTGGAAGGTTGCGATCCCATGTGTCCTCCTTGAAGCCTTCGGTTCTTTGCCAACAGCTGCGTCGAAACCAGACTGGAACAGTTTGACGTTTTCGAGCTGCAAGTGTTTTCGATTTCAGACGTCAGATCCAGAAGGCTGCGTGTAGTTGAGTCCTCAAGACCGCTGTTTGCATTCGCAGCCGGGCATGCGTCGTACTGCTATGATGGGATTTCGCCATAAATTAATTGTTGACTGCTGCTTTACCTTAGCCTTAGTAGGTAAGTTTCGCGCTAGGTCCAGGTCTAGCTAGGTCCCCATATCCGCATCGGCGGCAAGTCTTTGCTTGTGATACCGTCTGGTCGTCTATGGTTCGCTCGAGTTGATCAGGCTCACGACAGTTGTTTGCAAGAGCTTGGTGAAGAGCCGGATGCCAAGCTTTGCAGAATTCGTTTGGCTTTGCATTCTTAATCAGCTTGATTGCGATGTTTTTGAGGCATCCCTTGAGTCAGCAAATCTCCGCGTGTGTGGAGCAGTTGAAAGAAAGGCTGGAGGCTTAGAGTCTTCCGGCTTGATGCCCATTGGTTCATGCGTGTTCCTGAGTCGTAGCGATGCCAGGGTTGTGCAATTTGGCTGTGCACACCGTGCCAGTATTGGAACAAGCCGGGAAGCGATGTGTGATAGAGCACGACGTCCCGGAGGGCTCTGAGAACTGCCACGATCAAGATCGGATGGTGGCTCCCGTCTGTCCGAAAGATCCCCGGTGAAGTGAAGCTGCAAGGCAGTGCCCAAGTCACAAGTTTTCAGAAACGTAGGTTGGTTGGGCAGGGCCGTTTCTGTGGCATGAACTGTGCAAGCATCTTAGCGAATCCCGTAGCTCGGGCCCGAAGTCCCCAGCAGCTCAGGGATTTTTGTTCTTGAGCCATGGATGCCTCTTTGGCAGAGCTGCTGGTTGGACATTCGAGGCTGGTGGCTTGGCTTACATCACTTGGCATCAGCACAGTGCGTGATGTTTAATGGTTCTGGGCTGACGCAAACGCCGGTCTTTGCGAGCTCGAATCTTCGGGTGGCAAGGTCTGACATTTTGAACATACAGGACTTATATATGACGTGCTTGGCTCGTGCTAACTTGGAGCAGGGGGCATCAGTAAGACAGGTCATTGTCGCGCACAATTCTTCTTTCCAGGAGGCTTGTCTGTGGAAACCTGTCTGAGCCGCCTGCCAACCGACCCAAGGTTTTAGTGCCGTGGCGTCAGTCTACTCGGTGAAGGAGATCGCGAAGAGGGAACTTCCCCCGGCTACACAAACGAAGCTGCGCGAATGGTTCAAGTTGGCGCCTGAACACTCCTAGACTTTGACGCTTTGGGCTTGCCAGCTCTTGACTGGGCAGATGAGGATGCGGCTGAGATTCTGGTTGTGTCACTTCTTCGGCTAGTCGTTGCAGCGCTGGGCACCTGAACCAGGTTGCGTCTTGCCTGCGCAGACGGATCCGCTCGGCCACCGAGCTTTCTGCCCAGATGGTTACTTTCCTTCATAAAGTCTGGCTCGGGCGGCCGACTGCGGCAAGTGGGGTTTACAGTGCACTTGCGTGGTGCAATAAGCGTTTGGGGGCTGCTTTTCCTTTGGAGCATTTTCTCACGAAGTCTTCTAGATTCTAGATGCCATGCGCCTGGGCATACGAGGGTGCAAACACCTGAGCTCCAACCCTGGGAGCTCCTGAATCTCGATCCTCGCGGTCACTTCTAAGCTGACAGGAGCCGCTGAAAGGATCGGAGTGTTCATCCTTGCCAGCGCCGTGTCCTGCATCAGATTTCGTCACGTTCAGGGGTCAGTGTTGGTCCGAGTGCTCCCAGGGCTGCCCATGCGGCTGGAGTTTCGCTCTGTTATGGGAAAATCAAGGGTTAAAAGGTCTAGGCCTGCCTGCGAGTGGGCTATGCCGGACTTCCCTTGTTGCGTTAGCCTTTGCGAGTGCTTCCGCGACTACTTCGAGCATCAGCACCCGACGGATGCGTCCTGCTTGCGGCCAGCTCTTGCCATAAAAGGAGTGCTTCCGGGGATTCCTTTGCAGAGCCTGGTGCCCGCAGACCAGGCGGCTAGTTGCCTACAGTAGGCCATCAGCTCGGCTTTGATGAGACGGAGGCACAGACCATTGGATCGTGGACGGAGTTGCCGGCCGGGAGCCGCCGCTCCCAGGCTGGTACAGCGTCAAAGCCGATGCTGTGCTGCGAATGTTCAAGTAGAGAGCTTGGCCTCGAGCTGAGGGTAGCAGTCTGCTTAAGCGATGCTGCATTCATTGGCATCACTTGGGTGGTGGGATCTGGCGTGAGTTTTCGAAACCCAGTCTCTCCGTGATCGACGTGGAGCGTGTGAAGGGCCTCCTGGCCCAAAGTGCCCCAACAGCCAGTGAAACCGTCAAGCTGCAAGACGCGTCAGGGGGGCCTTTGAGTTAGAGGTTGCCGCGATCGCAAATGCCAGCATGCTCATGTCTGTGATGTCAAGGGTTGTGGGTACAAGGAGCACAACCGTTTGAACCACTTTGAACAGGCTTGACCGGCCGGCGGTGCAGGTTCCGTGCAAGTAGATTCCATCGGTGCTGCGATGAAGCCATCCTTCGCTTTGGAGGCTCAGGATGTCTCGTAACCAGGTTGATGCCAAATTATAGCGCTCTGTGGAAAGATTTGTCATCATTCAGCCGGATGGGAAGCCGAGGGTCATTGATATTGCCCGTCGGGAGAACCAGAACCTGCACACCCAAATGCTCGAGACCATCCATACTCTCAGCGTTGACTTCGTTGCCAGCTGCGCTAGGGATGTGTTCAAGGCTGTCTTTCGTGCTTGTGCAACAGCGACCCCGCCTGAGTGCAAGTGGCTGGTGATGCGATTGGGCACTGATGATCTGCCAGATGCTTACAGAGGGCTACCCAGTGGATGATGACCAGCTGCGGTGCAGTGTTGTGGCCGTTTGGGTGCCTGGTGACGGCTGGATATTCACAGTTCTCTTGGGCTTGGCTTACGGCTCGGACTTGGAGGCTGCTGTGATTTAACAGGATGCCTACTAGCTGCCTCCACAGCCTGCTGGCACAGTGTTGCCAAGCAGGCTCGTCCTCGCAGCCCATACTGTTGTGGTGCACTCACTCTGGGCATTGGTCGTGAATTCCTGGCCTTTGCCTAAGGAGTGCAGGGTGTGAATGGAGGATGTGTGGACTCACTACTGGCCCCTGTGCTTGCGTCCAGTTCGAGGACCCACTGCCGTCTGGCCTGTGCGTTTCGGCGTCTGTGCGGGCACTTGGGAGTTCATGGATGCTTGCATGGGGTGGCCAGTCAGGGACCTCGAACCTTTGCCGGAGGGCTGCCTATGACGCATGCGGAGGCTCCCTGAGATGGCGGGGGGGAAGGTTTCCTTTGGCAGCCGTACCCTGCGTGCCGTCCATCCATCCATTTAACAGGATGCCTAGCTTGGGCTCACGGCCTGCAGGAGGATGGTGTCGTCTTTCGCGGCAGCTTATTTCGACGATGAGCGGTCGTTGGAGTTTGCGCGAAACGCAGATACCCCCCAGACTGGACTCCACCTGGTCTTTACCTTGATGGGCTTCCTGCTTCAGCCGAAGAAACGATTCTGGGGGTCACCGGACCGCTGCTACCTGGGCACTTCTGTGCATGTCGTCGGCCGTGCGCAATAGGAAGGCTTCATTCGGGTGCAGCTTAAGTCTTCTGCGGTCCGCAAGGTGTGCTCTAAAATCGACAATGGCTGGCTTCCTCTTCACTTTCTCGAGGTGATGTGCAGTGGCTTTTCTCGTCATGCTCAGGCGCAGCTGCTAAATTTGCAAGGCCACTCTTGCAGCGTTGGCAGCATGGTGACGACCTGCAGTTGGACGGTCGTGATAAGCTGGTCTTGTCGACACTTCGAGCTATGGCAGCTATGGCATGCCTTGCCACCCCGCGCGACATCGACGTCTGGTCTGCCAAAAGCCCCCGCCCTTTCGTCTACTCCGACGCTTTCTGGTCTACTCCGACACTTCCTTCGAGGCGCTGGGTGATACTTGGCCTCCGCTCCACTTGGAGGCACCTGTGCAGTCCCGGCTGAAGTCGTGCAGGACTGGATTCCTCGTCGTCAACAAATATTCCCTGGTGAAGCTCTGTGCTTGAACATTTTTCCTTTGCTACAACCGGAGCTCTTTCAGGGCAGCGATCTTCTGTGGTTCATCGATAACCAAGCTGCGGTGTCGGCAACAATTAAAATCGTCCAGCGAAGAAGATGTTTGCGAGACATGCCACATGGCATGTTTGCTGAGTTTTTTCGGCTTAAATGCCGATGTTGGTTCGAGTGGATCGACTCTGACTCAAACCCCAGCGATGGCCTGACCAAGGGTGGCATCAGGGACGTGTGGACCTGCGCACAAGGATCGTTCTTCCAGGGCTTTAATTTTCCAGAGGCTGCTCGTAGATCACAGATCCGTTCAGACCTGCTGCTTTGAGAATGAAACAGTGGGTGGGAAATGTCGGTATTTGTTGTGGAACCTTTTAGGTGCCCCAGGGTTACTCACACGTCAGCTGCATTTCGTTAGTCGATCACCTGCCGAACCCAATGTCGCCGACTTTGTAGCCACCTTTCGATTCTCATCCAGATGGTTCGCATAGTTCTTGTTTACAGAAACATAGGTTGAGGTAGGGCCCTTTTTGTGGCATGAACTGTGCAAACATCTTAGCGAATCCCGTCGCTCGATCCCGAAGTCCCCAGCAGCTCAGGGATTTTCGTTCCCCTCCCGCCCGACCCTTTTTACCACCGCGGTGATCAGGGTTAGCGGTCTTCTTCAGCAACGATGTTATTGCGGAGGGTCTTCCGACTCCTTCATCTCCTTGAAAGGCGGGTGTGGATTGTGCAGGGTATTCCCAGTGTAACTTTTTAGGTGCCCCAAGGTTACTCACAGGTCAGGTGCATTGCGTAGCAACGTCTTATTTAGATGCTTCCCACAGTTCGTTCTGTTTCCGAAGTGTTTGCTTAAAGAGGTGCAGGCACATGCAGGCACCATTGCATTGCAGACGTTTTGCCCACGCCTCGCGACGCAAGGTCAACGACCTGAAGAGTCGAACTTAGGCACGTTGTGGGCCGACTTGATCAGCTTCTCAGTCTCCTGCCAGCTGCACGTCAGGCGGTGTCATCAAGTGGAGGCACCAGCCATTCAAGAAGGGGCCTCGCAACAGAAACGCAAGCAGTGGCATCGGCCAGGTCACGCCTCCGGAATCAGTACGAGTCCCAGGTGAAATGGTCATCGTCCAAGTTCGTGTTTTGTAGGCTCAGTGCAGGCGACGATGTCATGAACAGTTTCAAGTTCCATTTGTTCGACTGAGGCCACATTTGAGTGCTGCTTTGCCAGATGTCTCACTCAACACGTGAAAACATGTGTTAGCCAAGGCCGCATTTGCGAAGTTGCGAAAGCTGCGACAGGAAAAGGAACCCGCCGGTATGCAGACTGTTGACATTGATGAAGTGCAATGAACAAATTGCCATACCCCACATGTTGAGGCCTGCTAGGTGGGCACACGCTTGCCATGGCTAGAACACGTACGGCTTTCCGTATGATCGATTTAAACGCAGCTTCTGCGTTGGAAGGTTTAATCTTAATGCTTAAAGTGTAAGGCAACATGTGCAAGCAGCAGATGGCTTACAATCCTGCATCTTCACCACATGATGTAGGAATAGGTGTCACGAAGTGCAACATCATGTTGCCAACAGCGGTGAGGCAGCTTAAGTTGTGTGGTAGCCGATCTTGGCCCAGGTATTGCGAATATTTTCATCTGGTAATTTCGATGTCGAAGTATTCAACTTTTGAAACAGCACCCAAGGAGACACCAATATCCTTCTCAAGCTTTTTCAGCCCGTTTCAGCGGTTTGGAGAATGCTGCGAGAAGCTTCGTGTGCTTAGCCATGCCGGCATTCGCATTGAAGTGATCCGTCACTTGACACAGTCTGGACACTCTGTTTCGTAAGCGTGCTTAGCTCTTTAGAGCATACAGCCACTCTTCGCCTTTGCAAGGCAGCAATGCAGTGCCCGAATGCGGGTGGAGCTGGTCAAGGCTGTGGGCCCACAGAAGGAAACTTACCACCACTGGTTACTTGTGAGCAGGAGGAATGCCATGCACGCCCATGGCATCCGGAGGCAGGTCCACGAATGACAGAAGCAGCTGTGTCCATCAAGCCTCGCAGCAGGTATGGCAGGAATGGGATCCATGAACATGCCAATGATGGGAATGGGAATGGGAGTGCCCATGATGGGCGACCTCGCTGCAGTACTCAGAATCGGTTGAACTGTTCGGCCTTCCAGCGAATGCCGGAAACTCGCAGCGTTGCCCCCAGGTATGCCTATGATGCCAAATCCCATGTGGCTTGCTAGCAATATCCCCCAGTTTGAATGTTATGGTCGTAGCTCAACCGAAGCCACAACTGCCGATCTCAGAGAAGGATGATGATGATGGCGGGAGCCATGGCGGCTGCAAGCAGACCACCTGCAGCTAGAACCAGCCGTTCTCCACAGAGCCGCTTGATACGAGAAGTAGCTCACGGGTTGTGAAAAACGTGCAAGTCAATCTGCTGGGTGTGCATAAGTGCAGCCATTGCCTTATCAGCGAGCTCAACCCTCCAAGGATCAGAGCCAGAAGTTCCAAGCAAGAGAGAGGACAAGCCCTGGGACATGGATGCAGATGTCAGCATCCTGATCGCAGAAAGCTTGACCTGGCCCTCCACATCCATTGGAATGAGTCGAGAGTCAGAGTTGGCCTGAGGAAAGCTGGGAGACCACTTCAACATCGAAGATCGATGGCTCGTGCGGCTCGATGAGCTCATGAGCACCTCGCCAGAATGTCCGTGAATCTCCTAGTACTTTGCTTTTTTCGGAAGCTAAGGAAGGCGCAGAGACACCAAAGAGCAGGACGGTTGAGAGAAGCTCTCAAAACCTTGCAGAGATCTATAGTGACAGTGGACAGGACCTGGCAAAGCTTTATGAAGTCTTAGAGCAGGCCCGGAGCCCCACAGGCTTGGCACAGCTCGCAGAGCCTCGCGACGCAGCATTTCGGATGGGTGCGTTCTGCAGGGCTTCTGGTCGCCAAGCTTGGAGAAATGGAGTGCGGCCAATTCGTCGGCAAGGCCGAGAGGGCTGGGAGGGCCGGGAGGGCCGTTTCTTCGAAGTGGAGGTGAAACCTGACCGGAACATCGAGCGCTTGGCCACGAGGTACAACTTGGCCAACCACTCGGGCTGGGCAAAGCGGCAAAGCGGTAAAGGCAACGAAGACTTTCGGCAGCTCAGGACACCCGGGTGGTCTCCAGGCTGACTGAACTGAGGCCGCGTACCGCTCGTGCCTCTGTGCGGCGTTGTTCGGCACACCTGCGTCAGGGTCCGTCGAAAGAGAACTCAACAAGAGGATTTCAATCGACTCGAGCAGCATTTGAGTCTTTGCAAGAGGCCCCTGGCTGTGATACCATGTGAACTTGCATCATGAACAGCATGTCTGCAATCGTGAGCGTTTCGAGCAGATAGAGCGAATGCAGTGGTATCCAGCAGTGCGTGTATCATCCCTTCCCCCCATTATAAAAACCTACCCCCTGGCAGGGTTTCGAGTTGTAAACGCATATAGCGGAAAACACAGCGTCGGGTTCGCCTCGGCCCGGCCGAGAGTAGCGGCATCGGGCGGCAAAAGGGGCGAGGTGGGGGTGGGGAAATCGGCCCAGAGACACCCCAAACCAGTGGAGGATGTTTACTGAAATTTCACAATCCCTGAGGCGGGTCAATGAGTTCACAGGGGTTCATAGAGGGTCCCTGTGGTAAGTTTGACAGCTTCGGCCGGGGCCGAGTCACTGTAGGGATCAACGACATTGAATAAGGATCAATAGAAAATACAAAAGGATAGTACACAAATAAAAAAACACTGATCACTGATCACTAAGATGCACTGTGATTACTATGATTATCATTATTCCAATTGTTCTTTTAGGTCTTTATCGCGAATACATAACACGATTATTGCAATTATTATTATTATTAATTATTGTTATCCTTTTTATTAATATACAGTATCTGTTAATGCTGCTACTACTACTACTACT